ACCTAATTCTTTATTCCTTCCTATCTTTTTTTTCCGTTTTTTGTGTTGTTGTTTTCTATAAATATATAGCTAAATAACTGTTACTTAATAAAGTGCAACAAACAGCAAGAAAAGTATTGTGTTTCCAGAGAAAATATCGTGCACCGTATATTAAATATATGGATAAACAATCTGAATTTCTATTATTTTCTACAATTTATTTACTGTGGGAAAACCAGAGTTGTAACTACTTGATCATTTTCTAAACAACGTTCCCACGAGTTCTTTCTATAGACTGATAGTAATTATTCTACTACTTTCCAACATGTAAATAGGATATTCAATGTCATTTTCGATTCTTTCAAGTCTCACTGCCTAACTAATGCCAGTGTCAACAGAATGTGCCGCAGCATTACTATCTTTTAGATACCCTAGTTTATCATATAAATATATATCTAGCCGGTTTTTTGAAAACCAACCCAACGAAATTTGCAATCATTCGTGTGAAAAAGCGTCAAAAGGCAGGTTTCTTACGCCCGAGAAGCTCCAAAATCACAGTAACGAAGGAAAAAGAAAGGAGAAAAAGAAAGAGCGAGGAGAAGGAAAGGAGGAGAAGGAAAAAAAAGCAGTGGTTGCACTCTTAGTTTTTACATGCAGTGGAACCCGGTTAATACGGACACCAAGGGGGCATGCTATAGTGTCCGTATTATCCGGGTGTCCGTATTAAGTGGGCTCTCAGAGAAACGTCAGGAACACATGTTTTATCGATATAAAGACTAAAGCAGACAGTTTTACGAATCAAGGATCGTTAGAAGTATGTGGAAAGGCAGTCAATCGGGGTGGAGGTCTTGGTATGGAAATGATGCGTTTACATTTTTGATGGTCCTCGGAAACACGTGGATTGACTTGAACAATTACTAGACGTTAGCAACAACCCAGCAATACGAACGGAGGATGATCCTAGTACAGCTCGCAGCAAGCAAACAATAGGGACCTTAAGATACGAGGACGGGGAGCCAGGACGGCGACGGGGGTGGATGAGGAAGACTAGGTCGAGCCCCGTCGTGTCCGCCAAAAAAAAACTTAAGAGCAAACAATTTTCACTTGGGACGGCAACGGCGATATTTCTTTCACAAACAAATATGTCGACCTTTAAAGACGCTAGGACCTTTCTTCTAAAAAGCTACTTAGACGTTGTGATAGACGACGATGAATTTATTCTACTATGCGATGAGAGCTTCTTGAAGAAGCCAAAATCTCCAGATGAATTTTTTTTTTTACTTTTACTTGCAATAATGACATCAAAATACAAGAATACAGAAACAACACACTAAACTCCTAGAGCCACTTCAATGCTGCTCATGCCGGTTTCAATTCCACCTGTTTTTTTTTTTTCTCTTTTTTCAGTTTGCTCCTCAGTTCTTTAGCCACGCGAGAAGGTTGTAGCGATCTCGAACTGCCCTTTTGTCAACTGTGAAATAAACAGCGTCAATTTGGTTCAAGTTTTCAGCGACCTCTTCCCTTTTCTTTCCCCTCGCTACAGGGCTCTTTTTTGTTCCAGTGAAGGGATCAACAACCATGATTTCCCGGCACATTTCATCGCGAAAAGAACTCCATACCACTGGCTTCCTAAAAATATTAGAATCCAATTCAGGCGTATAAATCTTTAGTTAAAAAATGAAATTGCTTTTCAAATGAGCAAAAGGTAAACACCGCCGGACTGTCAGGAGGTACAAGTCAAAGAGACCTTCACTGAACCTTTTTCTATTCGATTGTTACTCTACTGTAACTGGATCTATTTTAACTTCACTTACACTGATTTACTTTTCTTCACTGGGCACTCAAGAACATTCATGGTCGCGACTGCAAAACAAACAAACAATGATGAACATAAATTATGGCCTTTTTTTCTCATTTCGAAATATTTCCGACAGAAATCGTGAAGAATATGATCTTAAGAAACACCAGGGTCAGAATATCTGAAAAGGGAATCGATATCGCCTTATTGTAGGTGAAAACAAGCCGCGAATACTCACGTTTTCCAGACGACGGCAAAACAGGCTGAATGGCGTCCTCGGCGAGCCCAGGACGGCAAGAACACGAGTTTGGGCTTCGTGTGCGCATGCCTCATTGCGCAAATTTACTTCCGGTAGCCGTCGTAGCTTGTCCCGTCCTCGTATCTTAAGGTCCCTAATGTCAAAGAGGAAGACGGTTAAGAGCAATGACTGCAACAAAAAGCCAAGGAAGTGAAACGTGTGAACCAGGAGGAAGAAAACTTTATTAAAGGACTATACGTAGTACAAGGGTCAAACACCGGACGAAAGACAGATTGTTCAAAATCAAATATGTCACGCTACTTTGGTACTGTTTTTTTTTAGTACAGTACTGTAATAAAAATTTATTCACCCGTAAAAAACTGTCATTATTTGAACAGGGTACAATGTCTACAATTATCACATAATTGTGACAATTAAAATAGACAGTATGCAGATAACCAGTGTCCGTAAAGCGGGGTTGACAATATATGAGAGTTTCTGACTCGGGACACAGAAAAGCGTCCGTTGAGGAACATATAACTGATCTCCTTTTTACTTGTGCCGTCTGCACCATAGCCTCCCTGCAGACGTCCTTTTGGGGTGCGTTCGTCACGCATTCATTTCTCCCCCACGGAGGTGTGCTAAACACAGCCTACGTTCTTGTTCGTTTGAATAAGTCAACAAGCGGTTAGTTATTGTGTCACGATCAGCCAATAACGAGCTGTGATACAACTGAAACGGTACCTGCGTATTATTTCTCGCTTTTGTAGCGGAATATTTGTTCCATGCTTATGCGTGGATGAGACTGCGAAGAAAGTTGTAAGAAGCGAATTGGGAGCGAATTGGGAGAAATGAATGCGTGACGAACGAGCCACAAAGGACGTCTGCGGGGAGGCTATCTGTACCAGGAATCTGAGAAGCTCCAAAATCACAGTAACGAAGGAAAAAGAAAGGAGAAAAAGAAAGAGTGAGGATAAGGAAAGGAGGAGAAGAAAAAAAAAGCAATGGTTGCACTCTTAGTTTTTATAATTGCTGGTTTTCAGTGTCACGTCATTCAAAATAGATCAAAATAAAGAACAAAACCGTTCAATAGATAAAGTCCAGAATCTGGGAAATGAAAGGAGGTACATATACAAAGACCCTCGCCAAGATTCAGGTCAGAGGAATATTTCGTATACGAGATATCCGAAGAAATGTTTTACACAAAATTATAGAGATTTGTATGGAGACGCCATGTTGGAGCTCATCCAGGTGAGCACCAACATAGCGGACGGAAACCAACAGAAACATCTGTTACCGAGTTTTGCGACAAAAGCGTGAATTTATTCTTCGAGAAACTCATAAACATTAAAGTGATACTTTTTCTAATACACGAACTGTTTAGATAGCAAAATTTCCTGAAATAAGTAATTTTTTTAACCTACATGACAGCTCTCTTGGCCGTCATGTAAATGTCGCGTCACACAAACTCTTAGAAATTCAAGCGTACTCTATGATCACAAAACCAAGAACCCTTTTGAAGCGAAAATTTGTATGAAAATTAGTTTTCAGCTGCTCTAATGCATCGTGAAAGTAAAATCTTGTTAGGATCAATAGTTTTTTATTTTGAGTTTTAGTGACGTCAAGTGAAAACCAGTGATAGCTACTTTGACCGCAAAAAACTGTTGGACGCAACAGATCTATTTGGTGATAACGTTATCAAAAATCCGGCTAGATATATATATGCGTTACTTTTGACCGAGCTTGTTAGGCTAAGATGGCTGTATATTGGCCAAGTTCGCTTTTTTTTTTCTTTTTTCTTTTCTTTCTTTCTTTCTTTCTTTCTTTCTTTCTTTCTTCTTTCTTCCCTTTTTTTTTATGGATAAGACCAAGATTGAAGTTCACGTGATGAATGACTGATTAGACTTTCTTGGAAAAAGAGGAACATGTAACTGGTCTCCTTTTTATGTCGTTCCGTCTGTACCAGGAATCTTCATTAGAAGTCGCCAACCTGTGTGTGGCTGACTAATATTGAGTTTTGTCATTTCAAAAACCTGCATAGTGAGCTTGTCCGCTGCGCTGTAGTTTCCTGTTAGACATCAAGGTTAATCAGGAGTTTAGGTAGGCACAGTATTTTGTTGAATGACTTAATATTTGGGTCGTTATTCCTTCCTACACCCTGAGTTCTTGAGTGTTGCTTCGATATGTAACAATATGCGTAGTGGAAGGTTTACGGGGAAAGAATTCGAGTAAAAGGATAAAAACCAATCTCCGACCTTAGATTAAATGCTTCTGGTGCAAATTTAACATCATCTGATATCTGAAGGCAAGCAATATTATAAAACCCTTTATCAAATTTTAATTCCTTTGATACTTTCGTTGTCCAAATTTAGCTTTTGGCCGTTGGACTCTTTGCGATTTGTCTTGTAGTTAACTATCCCAGCGAACTAAGTTAAGTATACTTTGAAACGATAGTAAAGTGTATTTTCTACTCTCATTCTTTTCTCCTGCCCGACAACAGAGGACTATCGATCACTAGCCTTACTTAGTCCTTTGTCAGTAACACTGTATTTTAAAAGCGTTTTGATGACAAGTTTTCGAACACGAATCACTCGTGAGGCGTGAAGGGCGAAGGAATGTGATCAGCCTTTGTATTAGGCGTTTTAATATTAGCAGGAACGCGTTAAGGTCATTAAGGTCTCGGTAAAGGAAAACGAGGTGCCCACAGAAAAAAATTCTAGTCGCGCGAGTATTTTCGCCACAAAGGCAAGTTATATATCAAATTAAAGCTAAAAGACTAAATTACCTTATAAAAGATTTTATTTTATCGAATTTCGAAAGGTGCTTAAGTTTTTTGCTCTCGAACTCAGAGGTATCGAGTTTACTGCTGAAGCTCCAGCCCTTTCGCTTTGTTAAATATTCACTACATGGCTTACCTCTTCGTATATTTTCCACTTGTTTTCAATATTTGTAAACAGTGATGTCTCCTATTATTGTTATTAGGCTACTGTTGGACAGTGTAACGATCCCAAGCCAGGAGCATTTGATTTTGTTGGGAAAGCAAAGTGGACAGCCTGGAATGATCTTGGCCATTTGTCAAAGGTGGTTTATCTAATTCCTGACCTAATGCCAAATGAAAAAAAATTATTTTTTTGTTGCTACAAGCAGAATTATATGGATTTATGGTAGACTTTTTTATTTGTTTGGTTTTTACTTTATTAGTAGAGAAGATATGTGCTTGAATTGTTCACTTTCTGTTGAAAGCATGAAATTTGGCATGATGGTAGTTTTCAAGGCCCTAAAAAAGATAGGATATGGTGCCATCGCCAAAAAAGTCCATTAAGTGTGAAAAATAAGAGTTTTAAAATGGCGGCCATTTTGAACCGGAAGTGAAATTAACATTTGCTTTAAAATGTCTGAATTTTAGCAACTTGGATAAGAAAATGTCAGCAAATGCCTAAGGCAGCTGTTTTGTCATACAATGAGATATTATTTCAATGCAAATTGTCTATAGAGATGATATAAGCGGCCACCAGCTAGACCGGAAGTAAAACTACCAGAGTCGGAACTTTTAAGGAATGAGCTTAAACTTCTATTGCGCCTGCTAATTTTCTTTCCTTTAATATTTTGTTTAAATTTAATGTATACTGTCAATTTACTATTTTCATCATATATAATCCATTACTAAACATGAGCCTACTTTGGCTATGATACAGACTGATATCGAAGAAGAACAGATGATATCTCGGTGACCTAATGACTTGATACTTCATGCGGACGAGTGCTTGTAATCGAAAAAGAGAGTTGGGCATTGCCTTTCACGATTGTCACTCTTCTGGGCATAGCCCTTGTTATGAATGTACTTGATTAGTTCCACCCTCAACTTTGTAATTTCTTACAGTGGAGTGCAGGAGAGTCGCCACTCTCCTCTTAGAGATATCCAGCCCCAATCTTGCAGACTAGGAACTGAGATGCTTGTTACCAGTGCCTGCTGACTCCATATGTGGCCAGCATGGCTCACTGTGCCCTTGAAATGTTTAAGTAATGCAGGCCGGGTCAAAGAAACTACTTTTGGCTTCGTCAGTTGACGGTAAAGAACTACTTGTTCTATCGCATAGAAGAACGTGTAAGCAAAGACAACTCCGATTATTTCTGGAGGTTACCGGAAGTATTCACCTTGTCATATCCTGTGAATGCATGGAACGGAGGAAGTGCAAGTGCAGCCTTTTTAGTAAATACGTTAGCAATCTCGTAGGCTGCAAGGTAGCGTAGATGTACATTAGTAACAAGATATTTGATAGGGAAGCTAACTTGGCTTCATGGTAGAGAAACTTCATGGGTAGTTAGAATGGAGAGTAGACTAAACAAAAATGTCTTGGACACAAACAACATAGAGACTTAAAAGAGGGGAATCTGCATTGTGATATAGCATAACAATAAATGCTTTCTAGCGAACTGACTTCAAACAATGCAGTGAAAAGACTGGACGTCTGGCCCTAGACGACATGAGTTGCTCAATGTGCAAGGAATCTAAAAACCACCTGCTTGTTTCGATCTTTACAAAAGAACTAGCTTTTTCCAGTTTCTTAGCATAGTTCCTGATACACCTTTACCACAGATCTTACTCTTCAAGCTGTTCTCGGCGCGACATATTTGTCACATACTATATCCAAGAGAATACATTTTACATACTCAGGGGATAAACAAAAGTGATGCACATTCGGAAAATGCTTTTTCCTCATTTTCTTGCGTGTGGAATTTAACATGATAATCAGTGCTGCTCAGTCCATGATAATTAAATGAGATTCTGGGGGTGGTTACATTGAAGATTAGAGACTAATTCTCACTTCTGTCGAGCAAGGCGCAGATTCACTTGATAGTAAAATACAGCTGAATTAAACTGCCGCCCGGTTAGCTCCAGGTGGATAAACACCGGGCTACTGAGCGGGAAGCCGCGGTTTCAAACCCCGGCCGAAACAATATTTGTCGATCAGGATCTTTAAATAACTGACGAGAAGTGCTGCCCGATGTCATCTGCGAACGGTTAGACTTCCTAGTCTTCTTGAAATTCAAAAAAACCTGTAGGCCCCGTCTCACTGTCCTTGTTCATATAAAATGCTGTGGGAAGATAAAGAACCTAAACACTGTTTGTAAAGAGTAGGCTGAGAAGGGGACCCATTTACCTTCCACACGGATTTCTCGGAAGCTTCTTGAAAATGGTAAACTTTGAAATGAGCAGACGTTATTGTGAAAGCAATTTCAATCCAATATGTACATGCAGAGAGTGTTATTTATACTCCTCAATAACACAAAATGGTGGAGCTATTATACTTCAAATTACTTTGAAAGCCGCAAAGCATTCTGCATTCTCATCGAATAGTGGATCAACTCTTTTAACCCTTACAAATTCTTCAAACTGGTCTCTATACATTTCCTTAAAAGGATAAGTTGAGAGAATCTGATAAAAGATCAAAGCATTTTCTCTTGGGTGATAATTTTATTAATTCTAAAAACCTAATCTCTTGACCTTGTATGGATATCGTGAGTCAGAAGAAAATTGTTGTTGGTCACTATTGGGACAAGTAAAAAGAAATAATCTGTTTTTTGCTAGTTTAATTTGTTTGTATGTTTGGCCTTTCCTATACTTAAAAATGTGAATCATTGTTTCACATTTTTCTTTAAATTCACTACCGAAATGAATTGCTTTGAGTGAGTTTCATTTTCCATTTTATCCCGCTTTTACCTCCGGGTCTTTCATATAAAACGCTAATTTGTAACACAGTTGTTGACTTTTTTATATGACATAAATATCCGGAAAAACATAGAACAAACAATTTTGTCGTCATTTTGACCTTAACATGCTAAATTTTGTGCACTTTCGGTTAGGTGATGTTTACATCTGGTCAAAATGGCGGCCATTTTAGTAATACTCCAAAAACCTGTTTAACAGGAAAAATTTGCAATGGCTCCATATCACATATTAATAGTCACGATTAGTTTATGTAATAAACAATTTCATCGTCATTTTGGCTTTAAAAAGTGCTTAATTTTGTGTACTTTCGGTTAGATGATATTTACTTCAGGTCAAAATGGTGGTCAGTTTAATTTTCACTCCAAAAACCAGTTTAACAGGAAAAATTTGCATTTGCACCATATCACATATTAATAGTCATAATTAGTTCTGTCATTCCTGAGAATTTGGTGCTTTTAACAAAAAATTAACAATCCGGCCCCAAATCTGCCCATATCCGCTCCACTATATTATATGATAACAAACCTGACAAGGATTGGGTTGCTCTACTGCTTCTCTGTTTATTATTTTACAGTCTAATAATAATCATCTTTATTGAGGAAACTTTTTCATAAAAGATATGGTTTTCAAAAAGGACCTCAAAACTAGATATATATTATAAAAACAAAAAAAGCTATAAAATTGCAAAGGGATTAAAAAGATACAAAAAATGCATAAAAAATTAAAAATAAGTATAAGTAAAAACTTAACGTAAGTAGGTATATTAAAAACTTAAAAACATTACGTTTAAAACTATTTACGTTCCTTGAGTCTTTGATCGCCTGACTGAGGGAGTTAAAATCGGAAACGGCATGATATTGTGTTCTTTGCTTCCCCCAATTTCTTTTGACACATGGTAATCTAAAATTGCCTTTGTTACGTGTATTATGCCTATGAAGTACGTCTTGTCTAATCAAGTCCATAACGTGATTAATTAGGCCATTGATGCATTTGTATACGTGTACACACCTTCTTTGAAATCGCCTTTTCTCTAGAGGCAGCCACTTGAGAACGGCTAATGCCTCAGTGGAGGATGAGTACAATGGTCTATTTAAAATAACTTTAGCGCGGCCTTATTTTGCAAAACTTGCAAACTAGACATAAGGGTAATATTATGTTTATCGCCCCATACTAGATCAGCATATTCAAAAAGGGGCATAACAAGACTTTTATAGAAAAGTAGACGCGCCCTGAAAGGCAATAAATGCTTTATACGCTTGAGAAGCCCAAGCCTTTGATTGATTTTCCCAGTTAGGTGTTCAATATGATCAGTCCATGTGAAATCCGAAGATATATGTATACCGAGGTATTTAAAGCTGCGAACATTACTTATACTATGATCTAAAATTGAAACAGTCAAATCTACTTTGCTTTCGCGTTTCCTATTACTACCGATAAGCATGCATTTAGTTTTGTCCAAATTTAAAGTCAGTTTGTGATCATGAAGCCATTTCGCCACACCCAGTAGATCGTTATTTAACTTATCACTCAACTCCTTTGAGGATGTACCATAGCAATAAATTACAGTGTCGTCTGCATAAAGTGACGCGTAGCAGGAGTTAATGCACTTATCAATGTAATGCCCGCCGGGGGGGGGGAGGCAGGGCATAGGGTGGGGATTTGACTTTTTTCAAAAATTTGCAATCAAATTCCCTGCCCGCGGGCAAATCATTCCAGTCAAATGCAACCAAATTTCCCCACCCCAGGCTGCACATTGCTGTCAATCCCAAGGCAGAACTTAAGAAAGGCACAATTCAGACAGAATAAAAATATCTCCAAATAAAACTCTGCAACCTTTTATAAACGTTGCTACATCACCAAAGACACATGTCCCTGTTACAGCTGCAATTATACGTTTTAACCATAATCCGTACGCGTGTTACACTGCGTAGAATGCATAAACCTTTAGGAGAAAGTCCACATTTTGTAAGTCTAAATATACCGTTCTTAGTAAAGGGTACAACAAAAGTCAGTTTTATAAGTTTACAGTGATTGTAGCGAATAAGCCATACACTAATCAATTGTACTTGCAAAAATCGACTTGGTTTCTCTTCACTTCCGTTTACTATGATGATACTAAAATTTTACAATTTTCTCAAAAACATTTTCAGCAAAAAAAGGACCTTAGTAAATACCCAGCAAGAAAATGTGAGTGCAAAAACAAATAAAAGGAGCAGAGAGGAGAGCAAGAAAAAGGTAAAAGTTAAGGGACCAGTGTAACATTAAACATGCCCAAACTGCAGATATATGTATGGTCAAACGATTTTAAGCACCAAAAATTTCTTGGATGCATAGATAACCAAATTTAATTACGAATGGTGCTCTGCTGCACACAATATGCATGCAAGGGCTAGACTAAAAGGTGAAACAAGCAGTTCATTAACAAAGCTTGCAATGTTCTCAAAAAGTAATTCCAGGTACCCACCTGCCAAGTCATTAACATAATCTATGTATCTTTGCTGTGCATCATCCTGTAAGTACAGAACTAGGTGAGACTTATTGTCCAACAAGCAGTTTGGTTTCCGGAAGGGTTTCTCAACTACAACACCTTTGACCTCATTTGCTGATGAAGTGCTCTTAAACATGGAACAAGGAAAGCTTTTGCGGGGCCGTGTTCATCAATCTAACCAAGGCATTTGACACGGTAGACCATCAAATAATCTTATGCAAGCTATCCGAGATCGGCCTTTCTGAAACAGCTCTTCATTGGTTCCGTTCTTACTTAACTGGTGGACAACAGCGCACATCATGTGGAAATGAGTTATCTGAGGAACTTCCAGTCATGCATGGGGTGCCACAGGGTAGTATTCTAGGGCCTATGTTGTTTGTGATTTACATAAATAACTTGCCAAACGTGCTTATGCACCTATCAATGTAAAGCCGGCGGGGGGGGCAGGGCATGGGGTGGGGATTTGCTTGTCTTTGTTGTCCCTGGGGTAGGGCATTTGACTGATCGTGTTCTCCCGCGGGAGGGGATATTTGAATCTTTCTTCGCCCGACGTGGAGATATTTGACTGCCGACTCGGACGAAAAAGACTGAGACCGAACATATGTTTCCCGCTTCCACGCTTCACGCATGCGCCATGCGGTTTGAAAAGATCTGGAAGTCATGGAGGCCAATGAGAACAACCGAAGGCTGAGTGGATTTCACTGTTTTGTCTTCAAATTTCGTTTGTTTTAGCGTGTTTTTGATCAAGTGAACCTCTTAAAATACTGTGGTAAGTAGAACATGATTCTCATTTGAGTGTTTTTGTCCACTTTACACGTTTTACATGTTTTTTTTTTTGTATTTTTCTTCATACTGTGACTGAAAGATCTCTTCCCCCTGCCCAAGTAATGTGTCTATGACTGTTAAAACTGATGACATCACAGGTTGTAAAAGGGAGGTGGATGTGCACAGGCAGTTATGGGTGGTTCAGGTGTGAAAAAGTTATTAAAATGAAGAAGTAAAATTAAATCTGTATTCAATTTTTCTCAGTACAATTTGGCACCACTGAGGAGGAATCAAAGGCTGCAGCTCCTGCAGATACTTCAGCAGCCAATACAGAAAATAAATACAAGGAACTGGTGGTGACACTGGAAAATGGGGTACAAACAATACGTATGAACAGACCAACAAAATACAATGCAATTACATTAGAGGTAAGGAAATAATATTTATAATTTTTGTCTTTGGTGCCTTACAGCGGACTGCTGTCTTACAAATTGATATTAGCAATTATAACCATAGATTTGGAAGCTCAATCAAATCCAAGAATTTATTGTTTTAATTTTTTTTTATATATATATATCTTATTTTTTCAAACTTTTATTAAAATTAATACTCCACAGCGTTACAATACTAACGTTACATGGCATTGCATAACATTGCATTACAATACATTACAAATACATTACATTACACTATAAACTTTAACACTAAAGTAACTATAAAAAAAATTACGTTCAGAGTACACACGTTACTTGGTCCAAAGGCAGAGCCCACTTCTTATTAAATTTGTCCATTTTATTGTTTTAAATTATTCACTTAAAATATTTTCATTTTAAAGCCGTGCTTTCCCTGATCAACGTAAATCTCCTCTTTCCATAACATTTAATAATAATAATAATAATAATATTACTTATATAGCACCAATATCAATATTGCCATTTTCATCAGTGCTTAAAAATCAAAATATTTAAAAAATAAAATAATAATAATAATAATAATAATAATAATAATAATAATAATAATAAGTGCATAAAGTATACATGCAAAAAGTGCATGAACCTACCAAAAAGAGTAACACAACTATGTCAACACTAAAACCATAAAAATTACCTAGACTACTTAAATCGTAAAAAACTGCATAAAACCTACTAAAAACGAGATTAAAAAGCACATAAAATCACAAAAAAGCTTTCTGAAATAAAAATGTCTTGAGTGTCTTTTTAAAACTAAGATGCTACTGAGCGGCTACTCCTAATTGAATCGGGCAATGAATTCCATAGTGGAGGAGCAGCAGCAGCAGCAGCAAAAGATCGATGTCCTAACGTTGTTAAAGTCTTGAATTTCACAGGGTTTAGTAGCAGTCCATCACAATCGGAACGTAACTTGTATTTAAGACTAATAAGTTCCTGGAGATAAAAAGGTGCTAAGCCATTGGTAGCCTTATACGTTAACAATAATATCTTAAAGTCAATTCGGAATTTAACCGGCAGCCAAGCAGATTATACAGCAACGGTCATACATGGCAGTATTTAGATTCCAGGAAAATTAACCTAGCGGCAGCATTTTGGACCCTCTGTAGCTTATTAAGCTGGTAAGCTGGCAGGCCATAGAGCAAGTTGTTACAATAGTCGACACGACTTGAGACAAATGCGTGAATGAGCATCTCAGTGGACCGCCTGCTCCTGGGCAGTGTCAGGATCTTAAGAGATGCTTTGTCAAGCAAATATTCTTCAAATAGCAGTTTCCAGTTGCTGAGTGATACTTTTGCTATTCTTGCTATGTGTTTAGGCAGTAGTTTGGCTATTTCATGTTTGCAAAACATGTGAAATCTTCCACCAATTTCTTTAGTTCTTCTTAAACAACTGAGTCACCATGCCTGGCTCTCCCTTTTTCTTAAAAATGACACACTTTCATGATATCAGAAAACATAAAGTCTATACTAGGTCAACAGTTAATTTAAAACATTAAAAATTAAATACTTCATTATCCTCTCCCCTTATGGGGCTTTTCAGGGATAATGAAACAAATAATTCAAATTGAACATATTAGGGTAAAGAATCCCAACTGATTGGAGTAGAAGCAGCTGCCTTTTTTTACCGGCATGGCCAAAGATTTGAACTACTGAGAACCAATCCAGCTATTGGTCAGGGTGAGACTTGAACTCAGGGCCTTTAGATTAAGCCCAGTGCTCTAACCATTCAGCCACGCTACTTCCTTCTAGTACTAGGTTATGAACAATCAGCCAGGGATTTAAGCCAATCAGAAACAGAGAATTATTTTGAATAAATTATGATACTTATTAGTATTGGCATGGTTATATCTGTGTTGCTGTTCTTGAGTTAGTCAAATGCTGACCTTTATTATGAGCTCAGTATATGTAGGTGGGTTCATACTAGTGAAGTCAGTAGACCTAAAGTATTGCAGGAGCTGAAGTACACTGTCTTGAGAGCATGAATGCTTACTTATCATGATAAGCGTTCACATTACAGTTGGAAGTATGCTGAAGTAATCAATGATGTCACTGAAGTTTATACGGAGCAAAATTTCGAACACATGTAATAATGTGAGAAGGATTTGAACTATTGCATGCTCAAAACGTAACTTCATCATGAGAAATCTTTCCTGCAATGACAGAGAGCTTTGCATTTTCAGTAATATCAAAGAGGAAGAATTTAGGGGGAAAAGGAGAAACAGACCAATGTCGTTCATGATCAAGACCCAAATAAATCAAACGTGTAACGGAGATGGAGAGCTTAGGTTTGGCCACGTCCACTGAACTGGTTTAGAATCTTATATGCTAGTCCATTGCTTGATATTTTTCACAAGGTACATTTCACAGCTTCTGGGTCTGCTTCACAAAGCTCATGAAGTTCTCACTCACATTTTAGAAATAAAAGAAATGGATTCATTTTCGTCGGCCAGGGCTGATTAGCCGTTTTCGTGATTAAAGTAAGCAAGCAGGCAATCAGCAACCAACATTTTTGTGTTAGCGTGCTATTGTGTTCTGATTCCCCTACTGTATAACGTGTTTGATTGACTTTTTTCCTGGAATGTGTTTAGATACTACGTAAGTAAGCTACAATCCTGGACAAAACTACTTGATCCGTGATGTTATTGGCTATGAAAACTCGTAGCAAAACTAACTACGAGAGATAGCCTGCGTGGCACGCGTTTGAAAGGAAAGGGAAAAGGGGTTTTGGGCTCAAGGGAAACGCGAGGGGCGTTTCTCTCGCACCTAAAACTCCCTTTCCCTTCCCTTTCAAACGCCTGCTACGCAGGCTATACGAGAAAGAGACTGGAGAACTGACAATTTGACTAACAACAGAGGATTGATTAACTGTGACAACAGACGGATCGAAACGCACCAATTACTGATTACGAGTCTTCATAGCCAAAAACATCACGGCTTAACTGACAAACGACCAATAACATCGCGACGTAATTGACCAATCAGATCAATAACCAGAGTATAATACCATCAACTGACGTGATACAACTCACTTTGACTGTGAAGATGATTACCGCACAGATTGTCGAAACGTCAGTCACTGTCAACAACAACAGTCCTTTTCAGGACTACGTTCACCCGGACGATTAAACTCAACCTACTTTTAAAATAATGTTACGATTAACAAAGCATTGAAACGGTTAACACCATTTCGTTTTTAATAGTAAATGACCCTCTGATTCTTATGAAAGGTCCTTGTTAATCGTTGTTGACCGTTGCTGATCTTGGTAGCACCTTAAAACTGTCCTGTTAATCGTTCCGAATCTTAGATATTGTGGAGAGAAAGAGATTAGAAGACAACTGTGGCCGTTTTTGCTATCTCTTGCTTTACATATGATGAATTTATCTCATAATTTCTTCCAGTCATATGTGGTTATAAATAGCTCGAGAGCAAAACGTGCACTCTTACAGGTCACACGATAGTACATCTTGTCACGTTACCGCGCGTGACATTTCTAGATTTCATAGTGTGATTTTTTGCATTGGACATCGCTACAATGTCAAGTAAGCTTTCAAATTTGGAAAGTAAAGATACAAGTTTTGTTAATATTTAATCCTCTCTCCATTTGATGCTGTTATTAATGTCAAGCGCTTGTTCATTGACTTTGATTGTTGTATCTATTTCGGCGATGGAAAAATTGTTCAAAGTATGGGTCACGCGCTCTGAAAATTCAGCAAAATTTTCATGTGTTATTTATTAGTGGAATCGTAGCAGGTGAAATTCCCGTTTTCTGGCTAATCTCCTTAACCGAGAAGTCCTTCTCGTCTGCCAAAAACGTAATGTATGCCTGCTTCTTTGCACTCAAAGCGCGCGTAAAAACCCTGCATGGAAAATGAAATTCACAAACGTTCAAGTAAGACATACAAATTGATTTTCTTGTCATCAACTCCTCTGTTTTCACTTATTTTCCATTAATTATCTACTTTTCTGTGAAATGTACAAAATATATAAAGAACAGATTTATGTGCCAGCGTTAAATGCTCAAAATGGACTTTTCCAGTCAAATACAATCCTGGACAAAACTACTTGAGAAAATGTTTTCATTAATGCGCACTACCTAACGCAACAAAACTATTTCCAAATCAACGGCTTTGCGTAAAGAAAACCCCCTCTCCCAGTTCAAAGTTGCTTCCTACAAACGCTTGGGGATCCGGGTTTCTTTTGAAGACCCAACAACACTGCTTCCAGGGGGAGGGGGGAGGGAAGAATCGGTCGGCTACGAAATTTAGCAAAAATGCCTGCCAAGTATGGAATTTCGCTCAACAGTTTTGTCCACGATTGTAGTAAGGATTGTTGGAACTAGACTTGAGAGTGTACTTCGGTTTCTTTAAAGGCAACGGGTTACCATCGCCGCAAAGCAGACTATACTTAAGGTAAACTTAACCCCATTCACATCTAGAGTAAGATTCAAGTATACTTGAGGTCTACTTACTTCGCTAGTGTGAACGTATCTTATAACTTAGCTTGCGTGCCCATTAATCTTTTGAATGAGTAATAGCCTGACCAGGTTACATTTAACTTTGTTGAATCTTTTTAGATGTACCAGGAACTAATGACAGCACTAGAAGAAGCTGGCAAAAATGATGCTTGTGTTGATGCAATGATAACAGGTACAGGGGATTATTACTGTAGTGGGAATGATCTGAGCAATTTCACAAGGATTCCACCTGAAGGTCCTCAGAAGATGGCTAGTGATGCCAAAGAAATCTTAAAGTAAGTATTCTTTAGAAGGCATATCCCCTTTCTGCTGTTACAATGTCGTGGTGGGGGAGCTTGCGTGCCTTAATGACCCTGTAATCCATACCAGTGAGGGCTGAAGGTCCTGGCAGTTCACAGGGGAGAGGATAGTCTAACAGTAGCACCTGGTCCTCCAGGTTGGGGGTTGGGTGTGGGGTTAACTTACTCTGGAAAACAAGAACTTGTGACCGAAACTGCTACATTACTATACACAACCCTTGTTCCAATAGAAACTCTAACTAAATCAGTGGCACCACGACCACTTAAATGAAAGCCCATCTCCGGAAGTCTGAAATGTGAATCAGAGCTTTCTAGGACCCCAAACTACCATCGACATTGGAGTATAAAATGGATGTACCATGTTCGAATCCGCCAAAACACAGCAAGTCATCAAGGAAGAGAACTCTAACTTGAACGTCCTCTGTGTGAGTGAGCGAAAATGGACTGGATCTGGATGAAACTACAAGTAATACCTACCAACTAGCAGTAGCGTAAAGTATTTGACATCAACAAGCGTTGTGCACCTAAGGTTAAAAAGGAGTACATGTACACTATTAAGCTTAGAAATTGCTTTAGTGCACTTGAAAATGATAATGGAGACCATCAGGACACTGTGGAAACAACAAAATAAAACAAAAACTGTTTTTAGGCCAATGAAATGCTTCTTGCGGGACGCAAACTAACAGCTACTGAAGCATTCAACTGTGGTCTAATAACCGATGTATTTCCTCATGATAAGTTCGCTGACGAAGTACAGAATAAGGTTCAAACAATGGCAAAACTTCCTCCAAAGGTAAACATCTTGATGTGTTAGAGGAAAGCCTCGGACTCGACGGTGGGCCAAAGTTACTTACCCTGTCAACAGAGGATTTAAAACAGAGTCCTGGCTACAAACCCTGGTCTCACATGAGGCTTGACCTGGTAGACAGCTTTGTATTTAAAATTAAATACCAAATGTAACAATCATTTCTTTTACCTCGTTAGTCTCTGCAGTTGTCCAAACAGTTAATCCGCGACTCATCCCGTGAACTTTTGCATGCGGCAAATGAACAGGAAGCTGCCTTGCTGGAAGAACGATGGCTTTCAGAAGAATGCAGGCAGGCGATTATGTCCTTTATGGCCAGAAAATCCAAGTTATGATTTGCGTCACCCTTGGATACACTTCGGTGCGCTTTGTAAATCGAACTTTTAGTATAATGTATTTCATGATTGTAGCGGTGGAATGACTGGTCTAGACAAAAATATGTTTAACTGGCACCGGTAAAATCAGTTGAAGCAAATAAAACGTTCTGGGGGTTTTAGAGTGTATTCTCTGCTTTTGGTGTTTCTTGCGCCAAGCGTAGTCAGGGCTGCTCATAGAACACTGTATTCTGATAGAGTCATGTCCCCGGTACGTTTAGCTTCCCTTCGTAACCTTTGTTTTCCCGCTTTCTGCTGTTTGTTCGAGTCTGATTCTGTTCCGGTGAGACGCGGGAGCATTCCCTGAACAGCGGTGGTAATAGAGCTGACTAGATGGATACCGGCAGTCAACTCTCTCTAAGACGGACATCTTTAGGACAGGCATGACATGTTCATCTTAAAGAGATGTCCGTCGAAGGGGGTAAAGCAAAGCAGGGACCAACTTTAGGTGTTCATTTTACAGGGGTGTCCTCTAAGAGAGAGCCGACTGTACTTTATTACCCTTTTACCTAAAAGTACCTTCCAAAAGTTGGTGGGCCGGTTGTTAAAACAGAGTTCAGGCAGTGTTGAAAAAAAAAAAGTACGTGTTCCAAGGTCAAGTTGACAAACTTCATTGTCTGAACGTTGTTTATTGTTGACTGTACCAATAAGACATATATCGCGTGCTAGGAAAAAATGTGTTTACTTGAAGCAACGCAGGAAAAGATCTGCAGGTCAGTAGAGGTCCCTAAACCGCGTTTTAAGTTTGGAAGAGCTTCCAGAAAAAAAACCGTAACGGATATAGACAACGATTGAGGGGCCAAGCGACGATTTGAATTTTAACGCCCATCACCTCCCGAAAGCAAGTATTCCTGAGTAGATTTTGTAGAATAGTACGGACCACACAATGCTTCTGTTTTTGCAGATTTGTAGACAAATGCTGTAATGTCAACGAAGATGAGATGAATGACCTGCGGGGTCATCTCATTACGATGGGATTATAAAAGGTCCTGTTATGTTTCGGCAGTTTGGCACGCTGAAGGATTTTTTGATGGACGATGTCATGGTTTGTTGACTGAAATAAGAAAGGCGTTTAGTACTTCAACGGACAAAAAAATCACTGAGTGCAACACAATGCAAGTTTTATTTTGTGCTACATTCCTTATACAAGGTTCTCATGGCCTTAATTGTACATATTAATGAGGGTAACGGGAAATTAAACTGGCTCTTTTAGCGAATAATACAAAATACTTCATTAAGATGTTTTCTTTTCTACTTTCCTATGTTGACGAACAATTCGATATGTTTCTGTGAATTTTTTTAACTCTCTTATCTCAAGGGATGTTACCAAAACGCGAAGCGCCGAAAGGGTAAGAAGCAAGTGGGAACGGGAAAATGACAAATGAAAACAAGAGTTAACTAAGTCTTAGTCTCATCAGTAACTTCATTACCAGTTCTCTTTTTTCCCATTCCCCTTTTTAGTAACTTGCTTATCTCCTCCTCCTTCTCTACAATTCATTTATTTTCCTTCCTCCGCCTAAGGCAACGCCACATTCACATTCACTGTCATTTCTTCAAATGAAATGTTTCTCTCCATCTCCTCGTTTTTATTGCTTTCTGTCCTCCTCCAGTCTCAGTTCTATAGGTTTCCCCCTATTTCTACAACAACTATTATTCTTTTACTTTTAACTGCAATTTACTGGCCGGACATCCTCCCGAAGGAGGGTAAATCGGTGCCTACTATACTACTTGCATTCTTCTGTTTTAAATATGAGCATAATTCACTTGCTGTCTGTGAGCATCTTGTCAATCACGGTGTCATCAGCTTGGCACAGGCAGACGACTTTGTTCTCCTCTTCGTTAATACCAGGTTTGTCGAGCTGCGATTCATTCGACATTGCCTGCAAACTGACATCGTTATCACCAGCTTGAGTTTCCTGTGTGATGTTCAAGCAGCCGAGATTAAAACGGGGATTTCTGCGGCAATCCATTATGAACTGTATGAAAACGATAAGATATCGAGCTGAAAAAAAGAGAGGGATATAAGAAAATTGTTTTACTAAATTTTAGGTCAAAACTGCTTTACGTACTTAAGTCTTTGTTTCATTCTATTTGCAACAAAAAAGATTGCTGGTAGATTGTTCAATGACGTTAACGTTGAGTAAATTACCCAGTTAGTAAAAGCGCTTACGTCGAACACTGCAAATTTTTAAGAATGTTTCTGGTGAAGTTCATGCAGCTGTTTGAACATCGCTGCGGCTCGCCACTGTGTGCTCGAAAATGTTAAAACTCCTATCTCCAGAGGACGCCACTTGATTTTACAATGAGGAGCAATCGGAACATGAATTCTTGAAAATGTCCTTACGTGTTTAAGTAGTGTTTAATAAACGAGCGGGGGTGTTTTATCGGGGTATAAAGCCACGAGGCGAAGCCGACTGGCTTTATACCCCGATAAAACCCGACCCGCGAGTTTATTGAACGGCTTCAAAAACATTCCTGGAAAAGCGTGTCTCAATGGAGTTGATAACAATGACGCTAGCATATTAGCATATTAGCAAATTAGCATACGAAAAAAAACATTACGTATGAAATTATTATGTAAGAAAATCAAATCTCACACGTATTTAGAAATTTTCCAGTCTACGAACGACACTAACCGAAGAGAACATAGCGTCTTGTTCCAGAGCTTTTCGGAAGCCTAAAAGCCGAGGACGAGAGGAAGTTAATTGAAAATGGTACCACAAAGTCAATTATTCCACTGAAAAAGTATTCTTTGACAAAATTTTTCTGGAATGGCCGAATGGTAAGTAAACAAAAATCCAGTACTCGAGGCTTGCGTAGTACTCGAGCGTTGCATAGTACTCGAGCCTGGCAAGTCTTGAGTGCAACGCTTGGACACTGCTATAGCCAATATTACCACTGTGTCATTGAACTTTTGGCTCATTAAACTGGTGGAAGAACAAAATTTAATTTTTTGCAATAATAAATTTACTGCGTGTGTTAGTTTGAAAGAACATTAGATATTCAACCACCATTTGTTGTGTCAGTTGCTGTGCTGATGATTAATATTCATAGGTCACGTCCAGTGAAATAAAATGCCATCCTTATTAGTATTTTTTATATAAAAAATACTAATGAGGATGAAATTTTCAAAGAAAGAATATCAATGAATCAAAATACAATCAGCCTCGCACTCCCCTGAGACTGAAATCAAATGCCGCCCCCAGGCTTTTTGGTTTGACAGTGTTTTACCAGGGTTTAAAACACGAGCACGTGACGGATTTTAGCGGACGTGATAGGTTGTTAAGGCCATGAATTATTAATGAGTTTTTGAAACACGTATTCATATACGCAGAGGTATTCGTAGACCCTGCCTTAAGGTGACTCGACCCAGTTTTCTTTTTTTTTTTTTTTTGGGGTACCATACTACTTTGAAGCTCTCTGGTATCCCCACCTTTACCTTTATCGTAAGTCTAACACATAGAATGGATAACATATAGATCAATCTACAATATAACATAAAATTTTTGGCGATCGTAGTAAATGTCACTTGGTTATAATGCCACGCCCCTTTGAGGTCTGAGTCGAAAATCAGCTGTTGCCGGCATTTTTTCGTGAAAATCTCTCGGCTACATATAGTGCGCATTAGTGCCTTGCGCTGAACAGAATTTAACCAAAATCGCAAAGACCCAATTCGAGAAATTCAACGGTTTCCAAATTTAGGTCATAATTTATGCGAAAATGATAAGCAAACTTCACACGATTATATCTAATAAACTATGAGATTCATCCCTTTATTTTGGGCATCGTTATAACAGATGGGTCCTTGCAAGTTAGCAAAACGCTTTAGGGCCTTGTAAATGTGCGCGATTTCGAGCAAAGCAAACATACAGAAATTATAGTTTTAGCTATTTGTTGACGTTTGTCAGCGTGTAAGAGTTCTTCTCACGAAAAAAGCATTTTCTTAAAAATTCGTAGTTTTTTTTCCTTCAAATTTTTTTAGGGCCACAATTGATTAACTAACTACCCGGACTCTGAATTTCATGGTCATTGAAAAACTGTGACATTATCTTCTGTAAGCCCAAACTTGAGTAAACATTGAAGATTTTTAGCGTTTTGGCTGAGTTTGTGCTTTGGGAGTTGTCTATTGTTTCTAGTCTGTCATTGACTGACGTTTCGACAACCTGTGCGGTAGTCATCTTCACAGTCAAAGTGAGTTGTATCACGTCAGTTGATGGTATTATACTCTGTTTATAGATCTGATTGGTCAATTACGTCGCGATGTTATTGGTTGTCTGTCAGTTAAGCCGTGATGTTATTGGCTATGAGGACTCGTAATCAGTAATTGGTGCGTTTCGATCCGTCTATTGTCACAGTTAAACAGTCGTCTATTGTTAGTCAAATTGTCAGTTTTCCAGTCGTTCTCTCGTAGTTAGTTTTGTTTGATCTTGTCAATAAGTCGTTTGTACGGCGCTGGTAACTGTTGGCTACGATTCAGTGGCGTTTGTTCTAAGTTAGTAAACCAGCTTTCTAAAGTAAGACGTTGATAGTAGTCTGTAGAAGACGTTATACATGTCGCAGAGTCCTAGTCCTACGAGAGAACGACTGGAAAACTGACAATTTGACTAACAATAGACGACTGTTTAACTGTGACAATAGACGGATCGAAACGAACCAATTACTGATTACGAGTCTTCATAGCCAATAACATCACGTCTTAACTGACAGACGACCAATAACATCGCGACGTAATTGACCAATCAGATCAATAACCAGAGTATAATACCATCAACTGACGTGATACAACTCACTTTGACTGTGAAGATGACTACCGCATAGGTTGTCGAAACGTCAGTCACTGTCAACAACAACAGTCCTATTCAGGACTACGTTCATCCGGACGATCAAACTCAACCTACATTTGAAATGGCTCCTGGGTTCAAACCTTTCACAGTTTTTCATAACCTTGTTAATACAAACAACTCGTTACCACGACCAAGGAGCAATTTTTGGATTTCCTAATTTTTCGAACAGTGACAAGTCTTATATAAAAGTCGTTAAGTTCAAATGACTAGCAATTATTGAACGAGGCTGGGTATGATGAGTAGAATTATGCAGATCGAGTAGGCCGAGGTGGAAAATAGCCTCCGAGACCATCAACGAATGCCGAATTCGAAATATTTCTAAGTTGTTAACAAGCTTTCCTTCTCTCAGCCTTTCTCCAAATCTTTGGCTTATTTCTCGGCACGTTTTCAAGATATAGAAAGATGTTTTTTTCTTGCAGATACTCCTCAAAAAGTTGGTAACATTTTTCGAGCAATATGGTTTAGGTATTCCCACATTTGTTTCGTTCAGTTTTGGTCAGAATTTTTAAATTTAGCCACAAGTATTTTGTCTTCGGATAGCCATGAACGCCACTTTTTTAGTTCCCTTTTAAATAATTACTAGGTAGTGGCCCCTGGTATGGTATAAAGCCCAAGGGGCCTCGTTTCCAGGCCAACATACCATACTTTTAACATCAAATATACCATCGAATCGATGGTTTATTGCTCGCATCTTCCACTTTTGGTCAACGTCAGTTGGTCATGAATAATTAGCCGGGGCTTTGAGCCAATCAGAGCGGCGAAATATTTTGGAGGAATGAATGAATGAACAATAACAATAATATGGTTGATACCCTGCAGATCAGACGTCAGAACTTTTCATCACTCAGTTCAGATGGCGCAATGTCATAATGCGGCCTACTCACCAATACCGCCACCACTGGGCCACAAACATGATTCTTGTCGTGTTAACAAGAAGGTGAAGAGGGTATGCCCCCGAACCTCCCTCGCCTAGTTGCCCTAGTTTCTTCTTCCTTTGACGTCTCGGTTAGCAACACGTCAGGTGCTCAAACGCACCTCCTCAAACAAATTCCTAGCTTTGCCCTGGAACTGTCACAAAGTTGCCCACTGTGCTAATGACAGTGTGAAATGTATTTAAACCAGATAAAGCATGAAGGTAAAAAACTTATATATAATACTTATAACTTACATTATATAACCCAAACTTACCAAACACAATGCTTATGACCAAAGCATTGATCATCAACAGCAAAATACCAAGGGCCCAGCTTTCGTTGTTTGCATCCACGTCTCCAGTCACGTCATCTGATGGTATCTTCAGTAGCACTCCAATCAAAAGATTGAATGACGTCACCAGAAGGGACGTCATTTGTAGATAATCCTCAAATCTGTCTGGAATGGGTCGAAATCTCCCATGAAGCATTGCGAAAACACAGGAAATCATTGCAGCAATACCAACTTGCGTACGACTTTCAGATCCCACAAATACCACGCCAGCTGACAGAATAACCTTTCGCGCCATTTCGATACCTTCCCAATACCAGCAGCTTGGCGAGTAGTTCTCGTGTAAAAACAATACTGCCATCGCCATTTGATTCATGTTGCCCCTGGTTTCTGTTGCGGTGAATTTTTTAATTCTCTTCTGAGCTTGGTGATGGTTTTTCCAGACCAGGTATGTCAGAAAGATGGGAAATGCAACCACATATGATAACGATGCATATGCTGCCCACGTGTACTTTTTGTGCTCGTTGGTTCCGCACTCAATGGTGTAGTCAGCTCTCAAGAAAGACGGGCATGTGCTGGATCCTTCAAATGGGCAGAGTTCACGGCAAGAAATAGGAAGAATCTTAAATATGTTGACACAAGTGGCTGGATAGGCAACAAACAGAAGAAACAATATGACTTTCAGATGAGGCTTTTTGGATTCCATGTCTTCTTTTTTGTCTCTTTGATGTCGTTTCACCTTCACCCAAGCCAACCTTAAAAGGTAGCAGAACAGTGGAAAGATAACTATGCACACGTTTGCCGCCACAGTAAACATGAAATGACTATAAGCATTCATTTTGAAATTTTCTTTCAGACAGGTCGGGGAGACAATCTCCAAAAAGTTAAGTTGAACAAATTTGATGTAACTCTCAAGGACAAATACCTGAGAGGGCCATCTGATGTAAGAAAAAGCTTCCAGAATACCAGCTAGAACTTGGTAAAATCCAATAATAATCTTGACATGAGCAAGGAATATGTCGGCGATCGTACGCCTTCCTGAAGTGGACAATTTGTTGCTTTTAATAATTACCAAGACAAGGATAAGGATACTTAAGGCCAGTACTCCAAACTGGATCGCAATGAGCTTTTGTGATGGACACTTGTGACAGGATATCGCTCTCTTGTAGTATCCTCGTCGACAGTTGGCACAAAGTGGTCCGGTGTACCTCTCAGCGCATTGTGAGTCGATTCCCCCGATGCAGGAACTTTCTCGTAAGCATTTATAAGCTACTGGTAGCTTACCAACGAACCTTGTTGTTTGTGCGTTGTATTTATCATTTCTAATAGCCAAGTTTGCAATCAAGAGCTTGTAGGTAGATTTACTGTAGTTTCCGTCATGATCGGCCCAATTCCAGTAAAAACCACGTAATAAATTAAGCTTGTCATCGGAGCACTCAACCCCTTTACCAGGGCAAGCTGTGCAAGGTCCAAAACGGTCTAGGCGGTAATGGGCTTTCAAACACCAACATGCTCTAAACCCAGCGAACATTGTCGTATTCGTACCTATAAAAAGCAAAAATTCATCACTGATAAATGATGTAACAAAACGATGCTAACTTTATCAGCCGGATCGGTTTCATAGTCCTACAGATCGGTTTCATAGATTCCTTTACCTTTACAACTCAGTTGTAATTATGAATTGCCAAACGGCTCATTAATACAAAGGGAAGATCAATGATATATTTTTGAAACATGGCTGACAAAGGAGGACATTCAACCCCTCCTAAAACCCCCAAAGCAGAAACAATCGATGAAAACCGAATAACCATCATATATACACACCCAGTGATCTTGGTAATTCAAACAATCTGATTGGTTCGCTATCTCGGACTATGACGTTTTAGTAAAATCTAGCTAGTGGTCTATTATCTTGCTGCGTTCTGATTGGTTGAGCTACTACTAGGCTATATGTTATAGCCCAAAAAGCGCCGGCTTTTTAGCGACAAAAAAGGATTAAAGTCTCGCTTTAACCAGCTAAAGTTGTTTTGTCTCGAAATTTTTCGACAGCTAGTTGGATTTTACTAAAACAATTATTCCTCTCGCCCTCATGGCCCCTAAGTCAATAGCCCATTCGGGCTCGAAGAATAATTGTTAAATATTCACCGCGCTAGGCGGTGAATATAAAGCAGAACAAAATCGCTGTCGTGAACTGGGTGTTTTGCCAAAGTTTCGTAGTAAATTCTTTTTGAAAATACACGAATATCCAAGTGCTGATGACTTTGAAGGCAAGAAAAGACTTCATGGTTTTTAAACAGCGTGATCTATTGTGAAGTGGCTTACTGTAGCTGACTTTTTGTACGCTCGAAGCTTTGTTTACCACTACAGAGGAAAACGAGGCCGCTTTGTCACTGTTTTGTGAATTCGGGATTTTCTCGCAAGATCAATTTTGCCTATAAAAAGAAGTTAATTTATGGAGAAAAGAGGAAGGCAAATATTTTCGAAAATAGTACGTGCCAGCAAGTTAACAAGGCAAAGAACATAGGAGATAAACAACGATCACCTTGATCGTAAGCTGCCGCTGTTGACAGCATTTGCAAGAAGCGACAAAAAAAACTTTCTCATTCACGGTGAGTTGACAGAAACAAATAAAGGTCTACTTTTCTTCTCAGAATTGGGTAGTAATATAAATTTTCGACGTTTTCTTTCAAACCCTTGATGCTAAAGCTTACAAAACTCGATACAAAAAGATGAAAACCATCATTTGCTATTTTTAAAGATACTGTAAAGATCTAACTTTTGCGCATCCACTGTTTACGGCTTCGTGTTCACGCATGAATTCACCCGTCAATCAACTAATCGTTTTTTAATGGTTTCCTTTCTGATTCTGTTGAGATCACTTCGTGTGAATATACTAAAACAATTATTCACCTCAGACTCGGTTAATATTGTTGAATAATCCCCTAAACTTCGTCTCGGAGATATTATCTTCGCCTTCGGCGAATAATTGTTAAATAATGTAATTATCGTAAAGGGCAACTGAAAAAAAAAACACTTCTAAACGTATTTAATGCTTTGCAGAAAATGTACCTTTAAACAAAATAAAGCAAAGAAAAGACGCAAATATGTAGAAAAAAACTTAAATCGATGGAAAACTGACGACCCCATTGCTTCCTCCTAACAATAACGAGACACTTATATGACGTATTAACCTTCTGGACATGCTTTACAATCCCATGATTCTTTTCCTGGTGCATTTTTTGGGTGGACAAACGTCCCAGCAGGGCAACGCCGACAGCCATTTCCATCCAATGTCAAACCAACTGCTGCAACTGAATCTTGGTAAAATCCACCTAGAATATTAGGACAGATGAATATATATGACATTTGTTGATCAGCCGCACACTAAAGCCAACTCCAAGTGTTTTTATTGACTCGGATAGGGTTAAATTTGAACGTTGTTCTGCACAAGAATACTTTTACGTCAGAGCCGCTCCTTAATTTCATCAATAAATATCTTTGTTTGTTTCCAAGCTTGCGAGTGGGTGGAATCCTCCAAAACCTGCAATCTGATTGGTTCCGAGAGCGGGCGGTATTTTACGATCTTGCCCGCTAACCTGGGAGGAATCATTGGCAGCTTCATTCACAAGTTTGTTTGTTGTGTGTGAATGAGCAAAAATCGTCATTTTCAAACCATTTTAAACCATTTTTCTCTTAAAACTTGCGCTATTATTAGCATTAGCTAGGGAAAAGTGAATTTTATTATTCAGACATAAAAATCTGAAGGGAGAATCAAGCAAGTCAGCCAGGAAAACCGCTAAAGTAAAGCAAAGCAGGTGGCTCGTGATGTCGCTTCACTAGCTAGCTTTATAACCGCGCTGTAAGTAATGCAATCTTGCTTTTATGCGCCGTTTAGTGGACATTTTTGCTCTTTTCGTAGTTTTGTTTTCCATTTTTGCTGTATGAATCTAGATTCTACCGTTTTTCATTGAATTTTGCCTCGCTAGTTTTCTACTTATCTGAAAAGGTTGTTGTCAATGATTGCATTTAACGTTCAATCTTAAATCACTTTTCCAGCGGTCTGTTATCGCCGTTTTCGTTTCTTTGTTTATAACTTGTTACTCACATCGCCTTTTTTTATTCCAATTCAATTCAAAACCTTAAAATTAGTGTTTGTAATTAGCTATGTTTACAAAGCCTTCGTGCGGTTTTAATCCCACTCGATTGAACTAGTCTCCTGATCTTAACACTGCGTTGTACTTGGTCTGGGACTGCGTCGTCTCCCTTAAGGCTGATTTCCACTGACGCGTTTTTGCTTGCATTGCCTCTATTTTATTTGCGAACGTAAATTTTACGCACGTACGCACGTAAAAATTACCCGCCATTGGAAATCAACCCTTTTTTTCTCTTTCGGATGTTTCCAGTAGGGGTTCAGTTGGCACCTATTTTCCCTCAGCTTGCCATTTGAGGGTTTCTACGGGGACCGTGTTTGTCAAGAACTGCATCTCCAACTATCTGGAGCATTAACCAAACAAGGGTAAAGTTCTGAAAAGTTCTTGACGAAGTTGCACCTGTCAAAACTGGTCTTTTTTTCTAGCTTCCGGGAACCTGTTCTCTCGTAACTGCTCCATTACATTAAAATAAAAGTTCCGTTGCGATTGGAGGGTTGGGACTCGCGTGCGTATTTTCCTCCCCATCAATTATTCTTCTACGCTGGCCAACTCTCGAGGAGTGTGGTATGGTGGTATGCAGTTCCTCAGGACCAATAATGCTGCGTGGATATTCTACTGAAGGTTTAGGGAACTCACACCTGTCTTTATTCAGACTGAGGTTATGCTGCCATCACTTTTGAAGAGTCCCTTTTTGATTTAAAGGGGGGAGGGGGGTATCCACCTGATCAAGGGCACCCTCAGTTCCTGGTGAGATTCACTTTTGAAAGTGTTCAGGGACCAAGATTATCTCATTTGGTACTCTTCTGAAGCGGAAAGTTACAAACTGGGGGATAACATGATAGTTTTCAGTTTTCTGACTCAGGCGATAGTCTGATTTGCCATATTTTCAACGAGCTTGCAAATTCTGATTGATCGACCAAGTTAGCATAGAGTGTAAAGCTTTGTTAAATACAGGAAATTACATTTTTACTTTGCCGTTAGCTTCTGGTACTACCACCAATTCCAGCAAACTATCCAGTCAGTGGATGCAACTCGTAAATAACTTGCTCCGTTAGGGAAAGTTCCCGTTTCAAGTGCAGTGGAGAGTTCCGGAAATGTTATTGGTCTGTGGCTTCCAAAGCATCAACCTTTTTGACTATGAAAAGAGCGTCGATTGCTTTTAGACCGTCCACTATAATACCTCCTGCTCCGTTGCCTTTTCTCCTCTCTGAATTTTTCCGTCAAAGACGCTACACATTGGAGGGGGAGTGTTAATCGGGCTAAAGAGGAGTCTTACGTGATTTTGCGACGATTGGATTGGATTGTAAATCGGGGTTACAGGTGCGTCAGCTGCACATTGTCAAACTTGGAGCGAAGCTGTGAATTATATATCAAACTGACCAAAAGGTATTTTTTTCGGTTTCAATTTCCCCACGTCTCTTAGTAGGGTATAGTAGGTTGTAAAGTTTGATCTGAGATGTTATTTTCTTTCTTTCATGATCTCAAGGTGTTTATCAACTTATTCTTGATAGTAGTGGTCGGATGCCACCTCAGTAGTATTGGTTTCAAATAGATAGGCCATTTCAATGTAATCCCTCTGCTTGTCTAGTACATGTAATGACAGCTGATCTCTCTTCCTTTGCAGGCAGGATATATAAGCTGACATCTTCACTCTCGCTCACGGTGATTCTGCTCACCTGCCCCTCTGAGGCTATCAGCTACCTATCTCAGATAAAGGCTGCATGCTACATCAGTAAATGCGATGTTATATATTAACATTTGCGTGGGTGGAGTCACATAGTAATTCAGACCCTTCGATGGTTCGATCGTTCACTCTCAACAATGATTTCTCATGGGAAGGTTCACAACCCACTTATTTCCATTCAATATTTTATTAGTCTTTTTCTACTTCTCCAAAAGTTGTGGATTACGTTCGTACATTTCCCCAGTGATATCTGAGGAGGTCAAAATTTTCCGGTTGCTGCATTCGCAAGAGCTCGCAAGGTTCTTCGAACCAACTTCTAAAGTTATTGAAAGACCGAACAGGCATCAAACAGAATACACGATCGAGCTCATGGGATGCTAGCCGGCTCGCAAAGACCGCAAAACCCAACAGCAACTTATAGAGCGTTTTCACTCACATGGCGAGCATCTATGTTAATTTATTGAAACAAAAGAAAGTGTTCATATAAGAAAATAGAGTGACTCCTAGAGAATTTTCTTGGTACACCAACATGGCCGCTTTTTCATTGTTTTGAAACACCAAACGTTCTATAAGTGATTTAATCAAGTTTACTACCACCGTCAAGGTATCATAATCTGGTAATAGTAAGGTGGTGGTAATATTAAGGAGCTTTTCAGCTAAAACAAATAAAGTGTTGTTTTTTTAGTTGGGGTCGAACGAATGTGGTAAAAGAATCAGCTAAAAGTATGAACTGAGTGCTTGTAACGCACGCTTGCACTGTTATGTCATATGGTCTTTCACGGAGTGGATAAACATATCACCCCACGTAACGTAATCCAAGATAGTCTTGGACTCGGGGCTTCCACATTGTAGATTCCTCATTCCTCGTTAGTGGAACTTGGATTCCTGATTCCAATTGTTAGTGGGATTCAGGATTCCTTGAGCTATATTAAAAATTCCAAAGCCCAGAATTCAGCTTCTAAAAGTAAAAATTTCCCAGATTCTGGGATCCGGATTACCCTACATAAAAGTGAAACATACACGACTATTACTGGCAGTACATTAATATCCAATTTTGTTTCACTTAAAAAATTTGGAGGGCATCATGACTAAAGTATAGCTGTTGGAGCTCACAATTTGCCGCCAAATAAAATATTTTAAAAAGAGGCTTAAAGAAGGTTTTGTTTCTTAAACATGACGACCAAGGATATATGTTAGGGGCACCCAAAGAACGAATCTTTCCAAACAAGTCAGAAATGTCTAAAATGGATTTCCAGTCTATGCTTTAGAAGTCTGTTTTGTTAATTTGGAGCTGCCCTAAATATTATCTAGTATCTGTTCGGATGTTTCAGGGGAACTTTGACCGTCTCGAAAGTTTTAGCTTTGGAATAAAATGTGGAAAATCCAATTCCGAAAATCGTAGGGAAGTTAATAGAAAAACTCCGAACAGTTTAGATAATTGGAACGGTTATTCAGAATTTTTAGCTTTTCTAATGCTAAAGAATTTTCTCAGCAATATTTACTCCTTCGAACAGATAGTCTACTGAAAACAGTCGTTGAGTGCCCCTGTTATGTGAAAAATAAAGACATTTTATGAATTTCGGATGATAATTGTACCTGCTGGACACTGATGGCATCCTGTAGACACACCATCGCCTCGTGAGTAAGTTCCTACGGGGCAAACATCGCAAAACCAGTCGCTGTTTCTATATTGGCAATGAAATCCATTTTTATCAAGTACTTCAGCATAAGTGTTGGTTCTTGCTGCTAATGAAGGTAGATTTCCGGGATATCTAGTAAAGGAAAATTAACAATAAAACATTCGTTAAACCAAGGCTATCAGCTGATCACATATTAAATCCTCTTCTGAAAAATACAGCTTCAATGAATAATACATTCGTTTCTCTACGCGGTCAGCGGTCAGCGATACTGTGCCCTTCTGCCCCTCTCCATTCTTAATTTCTTTGCTAACCTTATATACATGTGTTAATATATTGTACAACTGGTGTATTTTTTATAGAATGGAGTAAATAAAAAAATATAAAAAATACACAATACACCGTACAAAGACCAACAGCTATTAGATTTGCTCTTCGTTTGTGATGGTGTTTGATGCCCCTACGTACACCGGGCTGTCTTTGCACTTACTTTAAGATAACAAATTTTATTTCTCAAGGTCATATACTCACATGTAAAGAGTTACGTTGATCCTCTGGAATTCTTTTGCATCGATTGTTAATGACGACAGACCGGTATTTTTGAACAAAATCCTGTAATTTGCATGAAATCAAAGTTATAGCAGACAAAATAATGGCAAACTTAAACGTTTTCCATTCGAACAATGACAATAGGGCCGTAATTTATAATTTTATTCCACCGAAAGTGGTCCCAGAACCTTAACGAAAGCAGCTGAAACCAATGGACATGCATGTGCAATAAGAAGTCAAGGGGGTAAGTATGAGGTCTAAACCTCTCCGTCGTTTTCTACATCTGAGATGGGAATGTAAGTAAGCATACGA